GGTTAAACTAATAACCACACTGGAAAAGTTAAACAAGCCTATCTCTTATTTCAGGTTCTGTTTATACTTCTAGCTTTCAGCCAACTTATTTGATTTCAATCTATGCGTCCTCATTAGTTACTATCATGACATGACAAAACCGAGCCTAATGTCACTGGTTTAAACTACAACATGTAGGGTAAAAGCAATAGTAGCCCATTTTCTTTGCAGGAGAATAGGGTTCCAACACTTCCCTGGTGTTCTGTAAGTTCAGATAAAGTTGTACTTTTGTGACTTGAAAGTAAACACACCATCTACTCATTAACATATTGACAGGGAAAGCCCTCCACTCTCAAGATGGTCATTTTGAAGTAAGAAATAATTCAACTGATAATGGGATTTGTTGCTTCCTCACAGGATGTAGCAATACCCACATGTAGACACTGATTAGATACCTTCTTGTGCGTTAATTTGATAGTTACTAAGCCACAGTGCTATTTAAGACACTTTTTCTTTCTGTGACTTAGATTCTCCATCACAGAAAGAGTTACTGAGTGACTATAGCACATTTTACACACCTAATGGATCTTAATCCATGGGATATTTCCAGGGAAACGTTGCTTTTTAAGGAACATTGACATTATTAACAAAAGCTATGAAGTATCAAGAGGATATAAAAATGCCAAATTACTAAGGAGAGGCCTCTCTACTATACAGATGGCTAGAAAGATCAAACACCAAATACAAAGCTATTTTTGAAGGCTACTAATACATTAGGAGACTCCAATTTGTATCATCTTGGTTTTAAAAGTTGTAAATGTCCAATAATAACTCCTTTGATATTGACGGGAAAGAAAGTTGGGGGAGAAGAAAAGGAACAAGTTAAAATTAAATACTCTCCTTAGGGAACAAGCACATTCCACAGACATGGAATGTGAAGGCAAGAGCTCCATTATTGAGGCAGGAGGGATGGTAGTGACAGCCTCTGGAAGCTAGACTTTAACACTGCCCATTACTGACGGCAGTGCCAACGTTTCTATCTAGAAACAACTTAGGTGCAACAATCCTGTTGGAAGTAGCAGTACTTTTAGCAAGCATATTATTGTTACTCGGTTGTGTATTTATTCAGGTAATCTTGGGAGAGTCCTAAAGTCTAGAGGGACTAAAGCAACCCTTACACAGCTCACTCTTTAGATCGTACCCTCTTACATTTCCTAATGGAGAAATATTAGTTGGTACAGGAGGGGGAAATAATACTTGGTATAGGAACAAATGAGATGAAGGAATTCTCTCTCGCTGAAGCTGGAAAAGACCTAGAAATCATCTGCTCTGCCATCTGAAGGTCATATGAGGAGCTGAAAAAGTGTGGATAATTATTGAATCTAGGCATAGAAATGGGTTTAATTATAGTTTTTTCACTAAGCGATACATCTATTTTTAGATGTCCATAATACAGAGAAAAAGGGAATGAATAAAGGAGAAAAGGAAGAGTCCTATGAAAAATCATGGGGCCATGGAAAAGAAATGGTTTTCTGTCAGGTGTAGAGGGGACACAGCAAAAGACTGCTTTTTCTCTGCAATTGTAAACCAGACACAAAAACTTTAACATGGGTTTTTCTCTTTTGCTGAAATTGCCCACAAACTACATCAGCTCTTGAAAACAAGTAGCCTTTTTTGAGAAGCTCAGCTAACATAAAAGTCTGGCTGTAACCAAAGGCAGAAATGCAGATGTGCATTCAGAATGTTTCAGGTGTTCAGGCCTCTGTGCATCTCTGTGCCACCAGAAAGGAAAACCCAGTACATCTGCCTCCCAGCTGCCCAGCTGCATCCAGGATAATCACATGGAGTCACATTGCATGGATCCTAATTGCAACCACTACATAGATTCTTATTTCTTCAAAATGTCTTATTACTCAGCAGGTCCAAATTGTACATCTAAAATAGATATCAGCTTTTCATACATGGAATTAATAACTTGTCTTTTCAGACGCTAAGTTCAGAAAGTGTTCAGAGAAGAATTAATGGAATGTGACTTAATAAGTAAACAGAGTTAGCTCTTAGAAAAGAGACCAAGACTCATCTCCAGACCAAGGCCCTATCTTTCTCTATCCTGCTGAGTATTTACATGGTCACAAACAGGCTGAAAAACTGCTGGGAATGTGGATGACACCCTTTGGAAGTAATTTTTATGAGATCCAAACAATTTCCCAGAAGTTACAAAGAAAAAATACTGTGCTACATGCCAGAGATAAGATACAGATGGTGTCAAGTAAGATTAAGAGAAAAATCAGCAAAGCTAATACACTGTACACATGTATTGGCAGGTGTTTTTTTTTGTTTGTTTGGTTGGTTGGTTGGTTTTTTTTTCAAGAAAGCACATGAAAATAACAAACAAAGGCTAGAAAAAGGGCATAGCCTTTGGGCTGTCTTAGTACATGGGCAGGAGTGCACCTATGGATGGCATAGAAAGATGCAGGTGGCAGGAAGAAGACGTGTGGACAAAGTCCTGGACCACACGTTAGTGTGGAGTGTTAGGTAAAAAGAGTCAAAACTAGGAACAGACCAGGACCATAATAAGCCTTTATTATGCAGAGGATCTGCAGAGCTGTCTCCAAACAAAGGAGAGACAGCAACATGTCAGAACAAGGAGCTTCATTTATAGGATCAGGGTGGGGTTAGCCTGAGCTGAGTTGGAGTTGAGAGAGGTAGTATTAAGGGATTGGAGGAGCCTGTGACATCACTAGTTGCTAGGAGGTGGCAAGTATCAAATTACCTTTCTTGGTGGGAAGAGGGGCACATTGGGAAGAAGACTGTCCTTTGGTGGGACAAAACATGGCTTTATGGGAAGGAGACTGCTCTTCCATGTGGCAGCCATCTTAAGGCACAGAGCATTATGGAAAGGAGGCAGCTACTACTTTATGTATCAGCCATCTTAAAGCAAGGGAAAGCTAACAGTGTGCACACATCATCCATTGGGTGAGTCATGTTTAGGCGAACATTTCCATGTTCCTCACACGAGGTGGTGATGATGCAAACAGGAATCAGATATGACACCTACGCACACAAACTCACTCAAGGGTCCAGTGAGACATCACCTGCACTGAGACTGGAGGTTGGGAAACCAGAAAGGCTCAACCCCTACTCCAGAGAAGAACAGCACACACAGGACACTCAAGTTCTTAGAGCAGGGATTTGCTAGGACAAGGAAAGCCTTATGAATCATAAAAGTGTGTTTCCATTGGCCCTTTGTCACTGTTTCAGTAGATTCTAGAACCCTTCTTTCTTCACATCTGCTTCTTAACGGCCCTCCAGCACAAACACAGAGGCTTACCTGCAACCCTTTGGGCCCCTAAACCTCCCAAATCCCACACCAAAATTCACCCTAGATTACTCTTTCTAGAAATGACTTTACTCCAAAACTATGCCCTTTCCCAAAAATGTCTTCCACGCTTTCAATTGTGGCAACTTCAGCTTGATATTAAGAGGAAAACGAACAAAGTGAAATCATTTTTAGTAACCTGAATGGTTAAAAGTCTATCTCCTCAAGAGCTCATCTTTATTATCTTTTAATAGCCCTGTTTAACTCAAATTCTGGGTGGTATGTCTTGCAGTTTGGAGGGGATACTTTATGATGGGGATTTGTTTCAGTGGCCCTTACTGTCCAAAACCAGAGCCTTCCCACAGAAAGCTAGCTCTGGGACAAGGAGGACAGAAACATTCTTAGGGCTTTTTAACTTACTCTCCTGCCTGAGAAAGGAAGCAGCTTCTGCTGTTAAATCTGCCATACAGTTTATAATGAACTCCAGGCCATCCATCTATCCATAAAAGGTCTAGCAAGGCCTATTTGAGAAGGGCTGGGGAGAGTGGTACCGGAAGTAAGGCAAGCATGGCCAGTGTATCCAACTCTGCCTTGACCATCTCCCAACCCTGGAGCACAGCCTACTCAGCCAGGGACTCGTGAAAGCCCAGCTCCCTCAGAGAAGCCTCCTTCCATTCCCCAGCCACCTTTCTAAATTCCCCTTTTGCTTCTCCGGGTTACCATGTATTCCAAAGATGTTCCAGAGAATTTTCTCTAAACTCTAGCATCTCTTCTCTTCGCCTCTCAAGAGGGCCAGCTCCTGCCCTCTTCTTTGATTCTTGTAGATATCCAGTTGGGACTTCCTAGAAGGCTTTGGGTCACAGGATCCTGTCAATAATATGCTGACTCCCTTATCTTCTTGGATGTAGCCCTGACAGAGCCACCTCTGGATCAAATCCCACTGTGGCTTGGCCTCCCCTGAGTAAAGAATTTATCTTTTGAGAGCTGTAGCTCCAGGCCCCCCTCAGAGCCTCACTTTCAGTATCTACAGATGAGCACAGCCTACCCCAGTTCCTGCAGTATTGCCTCATAGACAACTGGCCACTAAGGCTCTTCCTCCCCTGGGTGAGGCCTAACCCTAGCAGTTTCACCACCAGAAGAGGGACCGTGACAAAAATATGGCCAAAATGGGAGGTTCGGGAGTCTGGAATGTCTTCATCTCTTTGTTTCTCCAGTTTCAGGAAAATAGATGAAGATAATCTCAAGGGGTAACAGAATCTTATCAGCTGAGGAGAACTCAAGGAAACCTCAGCTGTTTTGCAGGCTCGTTTGTTTACTTTCTGTGCGGTCACCCTGATAGCCCTCTCTGGGTTCACTTCCCTTCCTTGTAAACAACTGGCTCTAATTAAACTCTTTCTGTTGGATAAAAGTATATAACCTTGGAAAGTCCATAAAAAATGGCTCCACTCTTAAGACTTCAAAAAGCACGTGGTTCCTTTGTCAGGTCCTGGACAAAGTTAATTTATGTTGTTACTATCTTACTCTGAAGGACTCTGGTTACTTCACATCTGTTCTCTGTCTAATCTTTGTATGAACGTTGTGGTGGTCTTGGCAGCTCTGTGCATCTAGTGGTCTCTTAACCGTTTCCTGCCCAAAATGTCCAGGATTTCAGACTTGACTTTTCTCTCCTTTGCTTTCATGAATGCTCTCGGTTTCCTTTCAGGCTCTGTCCAGGTTTCATGTTTTCTGACTTCATCACAGAGGAACTGACCGGCTCCCCAGAGTGAGTGAATTCAAGAAGAAACTGAGAAGTTTCATCAGTGGGTAAGGCAATTTTTCTTCCATTTTCAAAATGGAGAGAAAAGGTGATATGAGAGGGAATTGTGCAGAAATATCTATGTATCTATATCTAGATACATGTATATAGTAGAGAACATGTTTGTCGATCTATGGTTGAATTCAAATTTTAAAAGGAAAACAAAAATGTCAGAGTATTGCACTAATGAAGGAAATCGTTTATGAAAAAATAAAAAGCTTTGCTTTAATTGGGTGTGCAAATGTGGTTGTTCCTTCCAATGCACTTCTTCCTCCTGTAAGTTGCCATTAAAACAGTTTAAAACTAATGGCATGGTGCAGAGCGCGACAGCATCCCTGTTCTCCACCAGTGTGACTGTGAGCACATGCAGTAACTTCTCTGAGTCTTTGTCTTTTCATCTGAAAATTGGGAATAACATGTGCCCTACTTACCACATAGGGATATTGAAAGGACCTAGGTATGCTGATGTATATGTAAGCCTTTTCTTCCCAAAGCTCTATATGAACGCAACTCCACTTCAAAAGCAGAAAGGGCTCTACAGAGGATGCTCGGGGATCTCACTGGACAATGCCAGGGCGCAGCCTGCTCTCAGGTCCATCACACATGACTTCATTTATTCAACAGTATTCACAAGATGCCTACTGTACAGCAGGACTATTTTAGTGTCTGGGAATAACAGACAAAATCCTTGCTTTCATAATGCTTACATTCTAGTGGGGGGAGGCAAATTTAAAATGGAAAAAGCTAGCATGTGATACAATGCTAAATTCTATGGAGAGTGTCCTGAATGGGCTAGTGCATCTGGTAGGAATGTTATCTAAGATCCTCTTGAAGTTTTCTCCAGCAACTTTTAGTGGCTGCAATTGTCATCAAATCACTGTATGATTGTGCTATTTGGAAATAATGTGCTGTGCAGGGTACCCACAGATGCTTTATGCAAAGGATACCTTCACATCACTGTCTTTTCACTAGGAAGTCTATGGGATAATCAATCATGGTTATGGCTCAATTTTAATTAAAAAGTATAGGCTCTAAATTAACATGCAACACTTTTTGAGTAGGAGGGAAGTAAGCATATGGAATTTATTACCTGAACTAGTTGTAAAAGCCAAAATATAAACAAGTGCAAGGCAGGTTTACATAAATAGTACATGTATAATAAATGGATAATGGCACTAAAGACTTTTAAAAGACATTATACAAACTATACTAAGGGCCCTAAGAAGCTTTCGTTGCTCTCAGCTCTTGTCGGCCAACCACTGCCTCTATTACCATCAGCACTATCCAACTGCAGAATTACGACCACAGTCCCACGGCCCAGGCTTTGGTGGGTTATTTTTATCAGCATTGTCCAAATCAGCAATGACAAAAGTGGGTCATAGATCACCTGGTGCAGTGGCACGGCCAGCAGGGGAAGCTGGGAGGCCTGGATGCTCATCCTCACTCTCCTGTTAATAAGTAACAACATTTTTAAGGCTCTCTTTTCTCTTGGTAAAACCAGTTAGTCTCCATGAACTCTGAGGCTTTACTCAAAAAAGAAACAAAACCAGAAAAATCCTGCTATGAAGTCGTGTTCAGAGTTGCTACCCTCCCATATCTGGGGTGAACCCCGGGGGCTGTGGCCACTGTTTTCTTATGTAACATTGTGCTCATAAATAGTCTTGATCTTGATCTGCCCTTCAGAGTTTTAAACCGAGTTAAATTTCTAGCACATTGAGAGTATGCTTGTCCAAGGCAGTGTACATTAAGCTCCCCTAAAATAATTTACTAAAAACTCAATAATCCCCACGGTTAAGGTCAGCACGCTACGGCTTGTTTACCAGCTTTGTGTGATGCCTATTTGTGTAAATAAGGGAGAGGGGAACTATTCTGCAACACAGCAAATTTACAAAAATCATTGCTAGCTACCTTGCCAATGTAATTTTAAAATTTTCTTTCTCCCTCTTCAAAATTCTGCCTTCTGAGGTCCAGGTGCAACTCACTAGTAGAGCCCTTGCCTCATGTACACCAGGCCCTGAGTTCAGTGCACAGCACTCTTTAATAAAAAGATTCCATTTCTGTCTTGAGCCTCTTACTCAACACACAAGCCTTCTGTGTTTCTCATTTCGAAATGTATTTTTCTGGGTATTAGCATTACCTCTTATTTTGTATATATCAGTTTAGCTTTTTCCACTTCTCTTTGCATGGTCAACCAAGTAAGGAAAAAAGGTCAGGAGGAGGGAGAAGAAAGGAAGAAAGACAGAAAAGAAGAGAGTTTATAACCTTTTATTATTATTCTTGCCATATTTCAAAATGCAAATTGTTATACATTGAATTATGTACCCCTATAAAATGATATGCTGAATTGCTAACCACCAATACTGCAGAATGTGCTCATTATAACTTTGTTTCCAAACGCAGTTGTAAGCCAGGCGCATGCCTGTAATCCCAGCACTCGGGAGGCTGAGATAAGAGGATCGCTGTAAGTTCGAGACCAGCCTGGGCTACACAGTGAGTTCCAGGTCAGTCTCAACTGCATAGTGAGACCCTGTCTCAAAAAAAAGACCCAAATCAAAACACAGTTGTTGCAGATTTAATTAGAGATCAAGCCATACTGAAGTACTACAGGCTCTAATCTGATTAGTATCACCCTTTACCATCCTTTAAGAGAACTTTAAGACTCTATTTATAGTACATTTCATGGCTTTGGAGTCTCCTGTGTGAAGATGGACTATAAGTGGAGGAAACATGACTAGTTTTGTTCATGCCACACAAAGCTTTATCTGATACAGCAACAGAAGCACAGTAACAAAAGACACAGATGAGGGAATATTGGTAATATGAGTTCAAGGAGAGTCCTGGTTTGTAAAACTCAGGAGTGAAGCCATTAGAAACTGGGATTTTCTTTGATAGAAGTTTTTATTATTACTCATTCAACATCCTTATCATCAGTCTGGTCAGATTTTCTATATCTTCATTATTTAATCTGAATAGGTTATATGTTTCTAGTTCATCTGTTTCTTAGTTATCCAATTGGCTCACATAAAATTATACATAGTAGTTTCTTATGATTCTTTGCATTTATGTGGTATTCACTCTAATGTCACCTCTTACTTGTAATTTTAGTGATTTGATTGGGCCTTCTCTAGTTAGCTTAGCTAAATGTTAATAAATTTTATCTTTTAACAAAATCAGTTTTTAGTTTATTTGATCTTATTTTTCTCTGTTATGTCTTTGTTCTTTTTTTCTTCTTTATAACTTAAAGCACATTTTTTGCTCCTGGAATGGAAATTACCATAATGTGCTCATCTCAGTCTGTTACTGTACCTCTCTTGGTCAGTATTTTCCATCAGACTTATTCTGTAACCAACCATATGATCTCTCCTGGACAAGATTCATTATGCCCTGAAAATGATATTCTGCTGCCTATAAATCCATTTTGTGTATAGAATAGTTCCCATCCAGTGTTTGTCAGTATTCTGTCCTGATGATCTATCCCTTTTTGAAAACTGGGTATTGATATCCCCTGTTATTGTGTTCCTCTCTGCCTCTTCGGAGCCATTCATATTTGCTTTATATGTTTAGGTGCTGTGATGTCATGTGCACTTGTGTTTATAGCTATGGTATCCTCCTTAAATTGACAACGCTGTTTTTAAAGTTTTATGCTTAATAGTTTTAAGCATGTCTATACCTGCTCTCTTTCAGTTTTAATTTTCATGGAACGTCTTTTATCCCACCATTTTAAGTCTTTGCGTGTTAAAGAGAAACTCAATCTCCAATATGCAGCACATGGTTGGATTTTTTAAAAATTCCTATCAGGTACTCTGTTTTTCGAATTGGACAATTCAATCCATTTACATTCAAAGCTACTATAGATAGATAAGGGCTTACTACTGCTGGTTTGTTAATTGTCTTCTCATAGTTTTATAGATCCTTTGTTTTCATTGTGATTTGGGGGGGATTTTGTAGTAATATGCTTTGATTCCTTTTTTTGCATTACTGTTTTTGCTTTGTGGTATCATGAGACATAAAACATAGTTGTAATACCCTGTCTTAAGCTAATGACAAAAACTGCTCAAAATGCTACGTTTATTACATCCCATGTTTATGTATTTGTACCTTTTTAGATTGTGTAGTCCTTACTGTTGCTGAAGTTATTTTAAATAGTTTTATCATTTATCCTTTGAAATAGAAATGATTATACAAATTATCATTACAGCATTACTTTCTGAATTTGAATATAGACTTTTCCCCTGTTTTATGTTTTCATGTTACTAATTCATGTTCTTCCATGTTTTCTTGGAGTACTCCTTTAATTTTCTCGTAAGACAGATCTAATAGTAATAGAATCCAACATTTCTTGGTCTGTGAGAGTTTATCTTTCTCTTAATTCTGAAAATCAGCTTTGTTGGATAAAATATTCTTGGATAGCAGTTTTTTTCTTTCAAATACTACCCCATACTCTCCTGACCTACAAAACTCTTGCTTAGAAATCCACTGAATGCTCAATGGAGATGCATTTATGTAACGGTCATTTTTACCTTGCGATTTCCAGGTCCTGTCCTTGATTTTGAAATGTTGAATAATAATATTGGTGTAAGTTTTTTTTTTAATTGAATCTAGTTGGGACTTTTGGATCCTATACTCAGACGTTTATATCTTTTTAGATCTGGCAAGTTTGGGACCACTGTTTCTTTAAGTAAAATTTGCCCTTTTTTCTTCTTGAATTCCTTAATGTATCTCTTAGCTCTCCTCACAGGGTTCCTGAACTCCCACAGGCTTTTCGTTCTTTTTTCCTCTTTCGCTGAGTATTTTTAAGAATATTTGGGTACCCAGATGCTTTGTTGTGATTGATCAGTCTTCTATTTACCTTCTCTGTTGAATTGTTCATTTCGTTCACTGAATTCTTCAGTTCCACATTTTGCTTGGGTTCACTTACTTCAATCTGTTACTCCTCGTTCTGTTTCTGTACTGTTTCCTCGATTTCAGTTATCTCTACTTTTCTTGTTCACTGCTGCATAGATTGAAA